GAGAGGGGAGGCTGTGACCGGGGATCACGGAGGGATGAGCAGGCAACAAAGGAGGCAGCCAGGAGCGGTGGGCTGATGGGATGGTGCCCTTTGGGGGCAGGAGGGGCTGGGCTGCGGGCAGAGTCTTCCCTCCCCATGCCCACCCCCTTCCGCACCTTGTCCCTGCCTGCTGCAGCGGCACCACAGTCCCCTTTCCCATTGCTCTGATGGGGCTGGGAGAGTGGAGGCTTTGGCCTCTGTCTGAGGGCCTTAGCCATACCTGGAAGGAAATGGGGACCACAGGAGGGCAGGTGTCCCTCTTCCTAGTCTTAGGATTGGGGCAGGGCCCGTCCTGAGACCCTAGACAGGGTGACTACCCCTCTTTTGTCATCTGCAAGAGAAAACTGCTTTCTTGCCTCTCCAGGCCTGCTCCCAGCCCTCCTTCGGCTCTGAAATCTCATCCTCTCCTTCCTGTCCCTGTCTCCTGCACGAACAGCTGCTGCAGCATGAACTCCCTGAGCTGATGAATCTTATTATAGACCAGCGGGCGGAAGACAGAGCACCGCACCTCACCTCTCAGGCGAAGGTGGAGGGGAAGCGGGCGGCCAGCCGGCGGCAGGAGCGGGGCCTGGGCCTCACGCCTGACACAGCAGCAGACTCTGCCCCCTCGGGGGCCATGGTGAGAGCAGCGCTGGGCCCGGGAACGGTGTTACTATGGCCTCACTCTGCTTACCTAGTAGATATGTCTCTCAGTGTCCCCACCTGTGATATGGGGGAAAGCTCACAAAGGAGGCCAGGTGGCCCCAAAGCATTTTAGAGATCAACATGCCAGAGGCAACAGGAGAGGCAGGGGAGGGACACTAGGGAGGCCACCGCTGGTGACTTCTGCGTCCTGCAGGCAGAACTCAGCACTGGGCCACAGGCCAGAGCCTGCCCTCCTTGCCACCCCAGTCACCCCGGGAGGGGGAAGGTGTCCTGGCTTCTCTGCCCCTCGTCCTTCTCCTACCCCCACCCCGGGAATCATACCTGAGAAGAACAGGAGAGGGAATGACAAGGAGTGTAAAGAGACACCGGGCCCTCTCCCTAACCCCTGGACTGGAACGGGGCCTCGAGTGCTGCTCAGCTCTCATTCTCTTTCTCTCTCTCAGGACTGACAGGCAGCACACACCGAGGGGCTCCCCTCTCCCCAGAGGTGCAGGGCCGTAAGAGCTGTGGCATTCACCATGCTGGCCCGGGGCAGTGGCCCCGAGCAGAGGTCCAGGCTTGCCCTGCAGTGGAGGCAGATCTCCTGTGAGTACAGTGGGGCGGGGGCCGGTGGCAGGGGCTAGCTTGGCACGAAGTGATGCATGCCAGGCTGCAGGAAGCTCCGATCTTTCTGGGATGCCCAAGGCCCGGGAAGCCAGGGGTTACCCTCTACAGTCTTGCCTGTGGTACTGGCAACTGTGGCAGCCAAAGAAAGAGTTGCCGTTGAGAGCTTTAGTGGTTGAGTCAGGAGCTGGAGGCCATGATGGTGGTTCTGTGTCTCCAGGTGGGTCTGTTCCTGTGCCCAGGAAGTCCACCCCCATCTCCGGCGGTCTGGCTTGTGGGAGTCCTGCTGCTCTAATGGCAAGTCTCCCTCTTGTCTTTCAATGCTGGGTGAACCTGGAGACTTCTGTCTCAGTCTTCCTAGCTCTGAAATGGAGGGAACTAGAGAGCTCTTGGATTGCGGTGTTGGAAGGACCATAGGGGTTGGGTCCCAGCCTTCCTCTTGCATATGGGGAAATTGAGGTCTCCATTTCCCATAAGAAAGCCTTGTAAGTTGTCAGGCTGAAAGAAGCCATGAGAATTCTCTTCAGTAGAGGGAAAGACACTTGAGGGGAGTTTGGCAGTCCCTCTGAGAAAGGGCTGCTGAACCATGGAATGAGCTGCTCTGTTGTAATTATTCTCTGAGGACTGGCTTGCGCAAGGCTACATGGTAATAGGTAAGATATGGTCCTGAGGGACATTATTCTGCCTGACTTCTCCCCTCATACACTTGGCCCAGTGACACAGCTGCAGGACATGAGCAGCCTGAATTATTCACCATGTGAGAGCGGCTGATCCCTGAGCCACTCAGATCCCGTTTCAAACTCATTCTAGAATCACTCAACACCTCGCAATACAGGATTATGTTTTCTTGTCACCAGAGCTTTTATGTCACCCTGAATTTTCAGGGGTGGGGGGAATAATGGCTTCTGGTTATGATCCTTTTGTGAGGGAAGCTGGATGGATTGACTTCTTTTCTGGGGAAAGTGAGGTCTGAAGGATGTTGATTTTCAAATGGCATGGTGCAGGGTAAGGTAGGGCAGGCTGACCTGGCAGCAGAAGGGTTCAGAGGGGTAGGAGGGTGAGTGGTAGCAGCAGGTGACCCCATGTGGCCAGGAAGGGTCACTGGTTGGCTTCCATGGCCATGACTGTGCTCGTTCCTCTTGAGAACGAGGAGGCTCAGGTGTCAGCCTTGCAGTCCGCCTCTCAGCTGTCACTGACCCCACAAGTGTGGGGCGAGAACAGTTCCACACTGTTCCTTCAAGCTCTGTTCTTGGGGACACCAGACAACCAGACATCTGCCAGACACAGACTCAAGACCATCCCATTCAGGTGCTCAAGTCGGGGTGGCTGCCTTTCTGAGTGCGGTCACCTGGGCCATGAACTGGGTCTGATTCTCCATCACTTCCCTGGCTAGGGTCTTTCCTCTGTGCCTCTCTTTCCAAAAGAAAATGACCACACTGCTGCTTCCTTCCCCTCTGCACCCCTACCCCCAGCTTGGAGCTATACTAGGCTAAGACATGCCACGTGTGGAAGAGATAGAGCACAAAAGGGCACTCCCACCCTGCTCTTACAACCTCCCCTGTGCTGTCAGATCTGCATGAATCCCACATCCAAGATGGAGCCAGTAATTTGCCAGACCAGGTGCTGACTTGGTGAAGTTGAACTATTTTGAGCTTACCCATTTTCTCTTCCACAGTGAGCAAACATCTATGAGACTCGGGAAGACACTTGAGGGGAGTTTGGCAGTCCCTCTGAGAAAGGGCTGCTGAACCATGGAATGAGCTGCTCTGTTGTAATTATTCTCTGAGGACCCCCCAGCCCTTCCCCAGGCTAGACTCTGAGGCTGCTTACTCAGAGGGGTCCTGGGCAAAACATGGGACCACAAAAGGAATGCTGTTAATGGGTTCATCCTGCAGAAATGCTACCCTGCAGCCCTTAGGAACAGGAGCCCAACCTAAGCAAATGGTTGGTTTTAGAGTGAGAATAAATATGAAACTTCTCCTAGAACCTATGATTTGCAGTGGCTTGTGCCCAAATGTTCTTCAGCATGGAGGTGGATTTGTGCATCTTATCCTCATCATTTCTACTGTGGTCTCTGGAGTGGGACCCTAGATGGACTCCTGGTCTTCATGCTGTTACTGGCCCCCCTCTTGGATCTGACAGCACATGGGAAGTTGCAGGGGGCAGGGGTGGGAGCACCCCTTTGTGCTCTCCCTCTTCCACGGTGTGTCTTAGCCTAGGGCAGCTCCAAGTTGGGGGTGGGGGGTGCGGAGGGGAAGGAAGCAGCAATGTGGCTATTTTCTTTTGGAAAGAGAATCTTTCTCTGTGACACTGGGAGAGGAACAAGGGAGCAGATTTCTTTGACATCCTTATATCCTTTGTTTTGTCAACATCTATGGTAGCGGTAGGGCCTGAGCTCCCAAGGAGATCAACCAGGGGAGGCCCCATGAGCTGGGGCCTCCTTGTGGAACAGCACTGCTTGTCCTCTGCACTCAGGCCTGCCATTCTCCAGGATCGTACTCCACTAAAGTGGTTTCTTTGCCAGATGTGCTGTGAGGCAAGAGCCCTGCGAACACCATGTGATGTCCAGTAATATTGACGTGCTTCGGGTTGGTTAATTATCTTTTTATGTGGTCCGTAAAGGTTTGTGCATTGATTGTGGCTTAGGCCAAAGCAGATAAAGTCAAGAGGCCATTATGTTACAAATTAGAAAGGCGGGAATTGAAGCAGGAGGTGGTAACCCCCCTTCCCCGCCTGTGGCTTTCTTTCCACCTGTCTGTCCCCCTTCCCTCCAGGGATCACCTGCTGGATCATGCTGTATGCTGTGGAGGCCCTCCCTGCCTGCCCCTTCTCCTGTAAGTGTGACAGCCGCAGCCTGGAGGTGGATTGTAGTGGCCTAGGCCTCACCATGGTGCCCCCCGACTTGCCCGCTGCCACCCGAACCCTCTTACTCTTGAACAATAAGCTGAGTGCCCTGCCAAGCTGGGCATTCGCCAATCTGTCCAGCCTGCAACGGCTGGACTTATCCAACAACTTCCTGGACCAGCTGCCCCGGTCCCTTTTCGGGGACCTGACGAATCTTACGGAGCTGCAGCTGCGCAATAACAGCATCAGGACCCTGGACAGGGACCTGCTGCAGCACTCGCCCCTGCTCCGCCACCTGGACCTGTCCATCAACGGGCTGGCCCAGTTGCCCCCTGGCCTTTTTGATGGACTCCCAGCGCTGCGCTCCCTGTCACTTCGCTCCAACCGTCTGCAGAACCTGGACCGGCTGACGTTTGAACCCCTCGCAAGCCTGCAGCTGCTGCAGGTTGGGGACAACCCCTGGGAGTGTGACTGTAACCTGCGTGATTTCAAGCACTGGATGGAGTGGTTTTCCTACCGAGGTGAGAACAGCTAGTCCTGCCTGGATGTAAGGAATCAGGACAATCACCCCTGACCCAACATATTTCCTGGAGGCTGGGCGCTGACTCAGGGCCGAGGTCCAGGGAGAAGGGGGTGGCCCTACCTCTCCACTAGCTCTGGGCTAGAAGAGTCTCAGCCTGGGCTCCAAACCATCGGCAGGGCAGAGAGGCTGGTGCTGCTCCCCCCCCACCTCCCCACTGCTCCATGTTCTTCTCTGTGTGCCCCTCCCAGCCTCCTTCCTCTTCTTTTTCTTTCAGACTGACTCACTGTAACTTGATCTCACTTCTGTAGGTATTGTGAGGCAACTTAATAATTTTTCTCTACATCCCACCAGGTATGCCTCTGGGCTTCCCTGGCATGGTAGGAGGAAGAAAAACCACCCTTGCTCGTCTGAATAATACAGCAATTTCTTAAATATCCACAGTTTCAGGAGGGTGGAATATAATTTAAATCCACAGATAAAACCAAATTTTCATTTTGATGATGATCTCAACTCTCCCAAGAAGTTTTATATCCAAAGCTTTTAATAAGAAGCCAAATGGCTTTAGTTTTACTTTTTCCCTTCCCTCTTTTGGGGAAAGTTCTAGAATGATCTATAAGATGATTAAATGTAATGAAAAGGAGGGCAAAGAAGTGAGTGCAGTAGTTAAAAGTGCCAGATCCGGGTTTGATTTGTGGCTCTGTCACTTACTAGTTGTGTGATCCTGAGAAACCTCTCTGTGACAGTGTCCTCATCTGTAAAATGGGTCAAATAACAGCTATCTGATAGAATCATTGTGAGGACTAAACAGTAATGCATGTAAAGTGTCTTTTTAAAAAAGATTTTATTTTTTTGTCAGAGAGAGAGAGAGCACAAGCAGGGGGAGCAGCGGGTAGAGGAAGAAGCAGGCTCCCTGCTGAGCAAGGAGCCCGATGCGTGACTTGATCCCAGGACCCCGGGATCATGACCTGAGCTGAAGGCAAGAGGCTTAACCGACTGAGCATCGCATGTAAAGTGTCTTGAAAAGTACTTAGCATAAAGCAAGTCCTCCATAAAACCTATTCATTTATTTGTTCATTTGCTACTAGTAGTCATAATATTAAACAGACTTAATAAGACAGAATTTGGTGCCCAGCACAAAGTAGATGCTCCATGAGTACTTGCTGAATGAGTGAATCAATGTGAAAAGAACGCCAATCCTTTTCATCAGTCTTGCTCTTTTTGTTTCATATCCAGCCACAATCTCAATTATTTGCATGATATTCTCCTGTGTTAGTTAATTAAACAATTTTACAGGGGAGCCTGGGTGGCTCAGTCGGTTAAGCGTCTGCTTTTGGTTCAGGTCATGATCCTGGGGTCCTGGGATCAAGCCCTGCTTCCAGCTCCCTGCTCGGCAGGAAGCCTGCTTCTCCCTCTGCCTGCCACTCCCCCTGCTTGTGCTCATTCTCCCTCTCTCTCTCAAATAAATAAATAAAATCTTTAAAAAAATTAAAAAAATTTTTACAAACTGTAAAGTGCCATAAAATGTTAGTCACTATGATACTTTCTCCCATTCTTGTGAGTCAGGAAATAGCAATTAATACTTATATAGTTTCCAGTTTATAAATATCTTTTCATGTACATTATCTATTTTAATCCTTATAGCAGTTAATCAAATCAGCCATTCTTATTTTATGGCCAAGAAAACCAAGACTCATATGCAATTAAATAAATTAAATAATTTGCATGAGATGACATGGCCAGGATTCAACCTCAGGTCTTTGAGCAGGAAGATGAGGTTGCCACCATCTCAACACCTGGCTCCTGCCTGTACAAAGGTGGCCCTTGGACACACTGCACTGGATGTAAGACTTGCCACAGGGCCCCCAGGCAGTCAGTGGCACGGGGGGACTAGAGGCCAAGGGTCTCAGCCCCATGTGTTATCCCTAGGCAACGTCCTTGTCTTTTCACATAGTTATCAGGAACTAAATTCTCAGCACAAAAGGGCATGGAGTGGGAATGTCTATTTTTGGGACTTTTCAAGAGTACAGTTGTTTTCAACCTTGCACTTCTTTAAAAAAATTCCTGGGATGTTTTCATCAGCATCCCAGGCAAAGCGTATCTATTGTATAAGGAGATGTGCAGCAGCTGCTCTGGGAGAGGGACTGGCAGGGAGGGGATGGCAGGAGCCTGTCGGCAGGAGCCATTTGGGAAGGGATTTCTTGCTCGCGTCCAGATCTCACTGGAACCTGACAGAGGGACAAAGTCTGACTCTGACTTCCTAGGGGATTCTCCCGAGCTACCTTCTCTCTCACCCACCCGTGTTCTGCATCTATATCCTCTCATGACCTCACCATGGTCCAGCCTCACCGTCGTCATGATGAGCCTGTGCACCTATTGCTGCCCACACCCTCTCATTAGTCCTGGCCCCCTCTCCTTTGCCCTCACGGGTCTCAGGGTTCCCTACCAAGATGCCACTGCACTCAGAGAAGCCGTGGTCGGGGTGCTGGTGGGCTGCTGGATTGCTCTTAAAGAGGAAAAGGCAAACGTTCTCACCCAATTTTTTCTCCCCACTCCAAAGAGGTAATCTTGGACAACCAAAAGTTTCCACATGGAAAAGTGCCTGTGGCAGTGGCTTTTGACTTGTCTTTTCTGTGAGACGGAGGAACTCTGGAGGGATAAGATATAGTGGAGGAGTGTCCTGGGTTTACAGATGGGCGGGGAGCAGGCAGATTCAGGGGCAAGGAGAGGAGCAGAACGGTGGCCCGTGCAGGACTCTGTTTGCATTGCTGAGTCTTCCCTGAGCACCAGCACATGTTAGCGGTGCCAAACTGCTGCGAGTCAGTTTGACTCTGGACAGAGCAGACTTGACTGAAATGGTTGTGTGCTTCTCTAAAATGGGAATAATGGCAATATCCATTTTGTATGGCTTCTGTGCAGGTGAAATGACATGATATATGTACCTCACCTATCATGGTCCTTGGCTTCCTAAATGCTAGTTGTTCGTCTCCCTTCCTCTCCTACTGATGTGAATCCAGGACCGACTGCATTCCTGGGCCTTCCATTTTGGGGACCTGGGGATGGGGAGAAGGAGTCCAGGTTCTGGATGCCTGGTCAGCCCCTGCTTTCTTTGTCCCCTGGATGCAGGGGGGCGCCTGGATCAGCTGGCCTGCACCCTACCCAAGGAGCTGAGGGGGAAGGACATGCGTGTGGTCCCCATGGAGATGTTCAACTACTGCTCCCAGTTGGAGGACGAGAATAGCTCAGCTGGGCTGGATATTCCTGGGCCACCCTGCACAAAGGCCAGCCCTGAACCCGCTAAGCCCAAGCCAGGGGCGGAGCCTGAGCCAGAGCCCAGCACAGCCTGCCCCCAGAAGCAGCGGTATCGGCCGGTGAGCGTGAGGCGGGCCATCGGCACGGTGATCATCGCAGGGGTTGTCTGTGGCATTGTCTGCATCATGATGGTGGTGGCAGCTGCCTACGGCTGCATCTATGCCTCCGTCATGGCCAAGTACCACCGGGAGCTCAAGAAGCGGCAGCCCCTCATGGGGGACCCGGAGGGTGAGCACGAAGACCAGAAGCAGATCTCTTCTGTGGCCTGAGGGCCCAGCCCCACTTGGCCTAGGTAGGAAGGGCCGGGACAGCATGCGGGGGATGGCTTCAGTAAGGGCTGGCCCTTCCCTCCAGCGCAGTCCCCTCTTGCACGCGTGCCCCCAGCCCTCCAGCAAACAAGCCCCAGTGCGGCTGTCTCCATGAACTTCCAAGTCTCTGCGGAAGCCGCCCTTGTGCTAGAGGCTCCTGCTCCTGCCCCTCTCGGGGCCACCGAGTCTCTGGGACAGCTGGGGGGTCTCCCTAAGCTTCTGGCCATGGGAAAGGAAGGCTATGTGTGCAAGTGCAGGCTTCTGGACTCAGTGTTCCTCTACTGTCCTTCCTGCCCTGGGTCACTCTCCCTACCTCCTGCTCATAGCACCTCATCTGCACGTAGGTGTGGGGAAGAGGGATATGGGGGCCAGCGGCCAGTTTCCATGACCCCCTTCTAAGCCAGGAAGATACTTTCAGCTGCCCTTCAGGGACCAAGTTGGGTCCAGCTTTGAGCCGCTAGCACTAATGTACAATCACAGCAACCATGGCATCTGGACCCAGCACTTAGAAACACAGGACACACTCCCCCTGCTGAAGCCACCATGTCCCTCTGCCTGCTACAGGCCACACACCAGCCACACTGCTCCCGGCTTCACCCATTCCTCTCACACACACTCAGCATCACCAGCGCAATTACATCGCCTGGAAATCTCTGTCTGTCGGTCTGTCTGTCTCTCACGCACACAGAATCACATGGAGACAGAGGTCATGAGAACTCAGGGAGTGGAGACCTGTTTCCCCCCTGTGGGTCTGTGGCCTTGCTTACTGCAACCTTCTCAAGTCAACAGAGGGGAGAAGCCCACACCGACAACACAAGGATTCCTTTGAGATCCTCTGAAGTGGGCCAGAGTGGTGCTGCTGGATGAGACTGCCTGTCACCATGGTAACCCTCTCACACCTCTCCTGCTGGGTTTTCCAGGGACACCGGCCCAGAGGCCTTGAAGCTGCAGCATGTGTGGATGGCAGCCTCCCGAGAGCCCAGGCACATACCACTGGGCATTTCTTCAGCGCCATCTAAGGACATCATCACTGCCAGGCCCCGTGGGGACCCCCACCAATTCCACTCCTATAGCCTGCAGCCCAAGAACCATTGCTCTGTACCCCTCACCCCTCCATCTTCAGCAGCTCCGGGCCTGGGACCTCGGGGTGGGGACTGGGTCACGATTGGTGGCATCTTGGGAACGCAGACGGCCCTCGAGGAAGCTCACTGCCTGAGCAGACCCCAAGCAGGCGCCCGGGGTGGGCAGAGGGCTGCAAGGTCTGCCCAGAGGCTTCAGGGCTGGGCTTCCTTCCCAGGGTTTTGTGTGCTCAGTCTGGCTTCCTGGAGTGTTTAATTGCACCTGGACTGGGCTCCAAACCAGAGCGTGGGCCAGGGGTCCTGTTTGTTACCTGTAGCCTACACCAAAGGGGTGGCAGGTGAGGAGACGGCTGTGCGGGGGTTTGGGGGTCACGAGTCCCCTTTTGTAGGTTGGCCCCCGCCCCGTGAGTCTGATCTCAGATGAGTACTAGGTCTCCCTCTGCTGGACACCCGTTTTCCCATGGCTTATGGAGAGTCAGGAGGTATCAGGCTGGTTTCTGGCTCTAAGACGGGGTCTTGCTGGTGGCCTGGGAAGAGGCTTCCAGAACACGGAGGCCAAGGCTCTGAGGAGGGACAGGGCAGGACAGGGCAGGCCTATCTTGCCTTGCACCCCTTGATCCTTCCACCTCGTAGAGGACCGTGGTAGGTGAGGGGGGCTGGGGGGGCAGGGAATGCCTTTGAACAGCGAGGGCCTCAGTGCAGGCTGCTTGGTGGACTGCGGAACATGCCTCCCTGGGCCTGGGGCATAGTCTTCCTTCTTTTGGCTTTCCAGCTGATACCAGATCTAGGAATTTGCTAAAGGAAAAGGAGGGGAGGGGTGGGTATTGTCAGTGGTGGTATCTTCAGCCTGAGACAGAAGATTTTTAAAGGCAAAATTATATTTCTGGTTTGTTGTTTCAGAAGAACAATAAAGACTGTATTTTCCTATGTACCTCTTGGTTTCCTTGGGTGGGGAGGGCATGTGGGCTCTGGGAGAGGGGCTTCCTGCCCCCTTACCTGCCCAGGCAACTACAAAAAGTTTTGCAGGACCTCACCCCAATGTCCAGAGCTCCATCAGAGAGATGGGAAACTCCTGCCTGAGGCCTCGCCTGGGGGCAGCACCGGGACAGGTGTCGAGGGCTGAGCTGGATCAGAACGGGGTCTGTAGCTGAGTGCAGCAGGTTACCCGGGGGCTGGGCTGACGGTATGAATTCGTGAGCCTCAGGCTGGTTTCACTGTGCAGCACTGGGGACTGAAGGTGAGCGGGAGACCATCACTGCTCAGTGCCCGCTGTGTGCACATCTGCCCTGGCTTGAGCCAGTCCACCCTGGCAGTCAAGGGCAGAGGAGCCAATGTGGTAGGAAGGCATGCATTTGCCCAGAGGACCCCGCTGTGTAAGGGGAGGTGGCGGGAGGACTCCCTAGGAGCTGCTCATTACGTTTCATGAGACTTGGTGAGATTGGGGGTGTTGCTAACATGAAGGAGGAACTCTGTTTAACTTATATTCCTCTTGCACCCTCAAACTGACTTTAGGGACAGGCAGATGACCCTCTGCACTTACAAATATGATCCTTCCAGGGCTCAGCAGGTGGGGACTCAGAATTATGAACTGGAGGGCTGGGGCTGGGGAGACCAGGAGAGGAGATGAGCCAGAGAACAAGGTCTTGGGGGTTGTTCGTCCACCTCAAGCCGGAGTGACTCACCTCCAGGCCTGGACTGGCCTCTGGCTGACTGGACCTGGCCTCTATGGTTCATTAGTCTTCAGAGACCAGGATGGAATTATCTCCTTCCTAGGAGCTTTCCTTTGGCTGATATCCCAATGAGGCCGGAGCAAGCCCTAGGCAGAAGTGAGCCCTCCAGGTCCCTTTCCTGGAGTTCAGCGGTACTCCCAGCAGAGCTGGGCTGCTTGCCTTTTAGAGGTGGTGATAAATGTGGGGTGCTGCTTTAACAGGCAGAGCGGACCCGAGAGACAGTCTTCCCCAAGCCCCGCTGCAGAAGCAGAGGCCAAGGTCCCTCAGCAGCCCGGCACAGGCCTGGGTAATGCGTAGGTGTGTCGTACGCGCCACTGTTTGGCGTGTATACGTACAGACCCATCCGCACAGAGGCAGGGCCCTGAGGAGAGGAGCGCTCGCGGCTCCAGACAGCAGGCTCACCGCCAAAGGCCTCTGGACGAGGGCACAAGGGTATTGCACGGCATGTGCTAGAGGAACACGCTTGCAGATTATGGTGCCACCATCATTATGCTGGGCAATACTCCCCAACTAGGTCTGGAGGGCATAGGGAGTTGAAAATGGATCCTGATCAAAAAGTTAGATTCCTAGAAATTCTGCATCACCTCTTGGTAAATCACCTGCTTAGAGATTAAAAAGATCCTTCCCCATTCAGCTGCCCTTCCGTAGGACCCCGTGGCATGACACACACGTCTGGCACGTAGCTGGCCCCAGTAGTTGGGCCTAGTGCCCTTCTTCTACCTTCTCCTCTTGCTCAGGGCAAACACCATCACCCATGTGGCCCACCCATCAGCCACCAATGCTTGCCCAGTCCGGGAGCCCCTATGCATACAGTGCCCCCGGTTTCCAAGGGATGAAACTGTCGGGACAGCACACCGGTCGCCTCCCTGCTTTGAGCCCCTCTGGCCCAGGGTCAAGGAGGCTGAGCCATAGTCCAGGGAGGGGAAATTACAAAAGGACACCCTCCCAAAACTTGAAGCGTAAGGTCTCTAGTGCCTCACTCTTTTCCTATCATATCCACACACCCCGGAGCCTCAGAGCCATTGTCTGCAGTGAGTTAAACCAGAGGCACCAGGACACGGTTTCTATGGCAACCCCTGGAGGCTCTAATTCAGCTCTGAGTTAAAAATGATATCAAATAATTGGAGAGTGCAGGAGAGCGCATCCAGCAGCCTGACCCGGTGTCCCCTCTGTTCCTAGACTCTCGGGTATGCAGGGGCTGAGAGGGTCCACGCCACGGAGCAGGACAGGGACACACTCAGCTGGGACCGCCGAACAGGCTCGAGGGAAACAAGTTTGGGTCCAGTTTTGGCCTAGCAATGGGTCTGGGGTTAGCACACTGTGGTCCAAGTTTAAAAATGCTGCTGAGATGGCACGAGTCCCTTCCAAATGCTAAAGCGGTGCATCCTGAAGGCCACCGGTGGGGCGCGTGTTGCCTTTGGCGGGAAGTCAGGGTCGGACGATCTCAGCCAGACCCCAGCCTGCTCCTCCCACCTCCTTTGCCCTGAACCCAGCCTGGGGGGCCAAGGCTCACCCAGCCCTGCCTGCGCCCCGCCCCGCCCCTCTGGCTGCGGAGTCCTTTCTCTGGGGTCCCTGGGGAAGCAGGACAGGACCCGTGATGGCTGATGCTTGAGCGCCCACTGGTCTGCACAGCTGTGCAGAACCGAGCTGGGGCTGAGACATGGGAACTGAAGCCAGGATAAGGAGGGTTTCACCACACAGGCCTGATCACACTCAGGCAAGGAGGCCCAGGTGCAAAGGACTCTTTTAGGTACCGAGAAACCACCACGTCCGGCCAGCTGGGGAGGGTCACTGGGTGCTCTTATCCCCTTTGAGGTCAATGGCAACACGGGGTAGGAAGCTGGGTCTTAACCTGTCTGAGCTTCATTTGACTTCATAAATTCTTTTGGATCTCAGGTTTTATAAACAAAATGGCTTGGGAAGACTCCTTTTTCCCTCAGTCCCTCCGTTCAGCTGGGAAAACCTCTGGCCGGAGGACCGTGGCCCTCGCGGACCACAGGCATGGTCCTCCTGCTATTACTGTGTGCTTTGTTCCTGACCTCGACTCACAACACCCCGACCGCCATGGTGCAGAGGGCAGCTCCTACCTGCAGCAATGGCTGTCTTCTTGTCCACGGTCACGGCCACAGCTGTGCTGGCTGTCACTACCATGGGCTGGCCTGGACTTTCTGGGGAAACAAAAATTGCCAAGTCACTTTCTCAGCGCCCGGGGAAGAGCCAGTGGTTGGGTGGTGGGTGGGGAGGCTGAGAGCACACTATGAATCCCAGGAGAGGGCAATCCTTGAATAAGTGAGGTGGGGGGGTGGTGTTGGGGAAAGCTGTGGTGGCTCTGTCACTTTCACCCACTGGTTTTTGCAGAGCACCTCCCACATGTCGGGGACTGCCACCTCCCCACGCAGATCTGACCCTGCCAGATAAATACACCAGGGCCCCCGGCGGCCTGGACAATGCAGTGTTGTCTACGTCACTAGGACACTGTGAGTTCCCGCTGTCTCTGGGCAGCGACTGTCTGCTGGCTGTTGCCTCCCTTGAGCTCAGGGACCCTGCTGTGACCTGTCCTCTCAGCGCGGGTTCCACCCAGAAGACTTGAGTTGCGTCAAATGATTCTTTCTAGCAGAAGGACAGGCTGCATTCCAGAACTCGTTGGTGGCTGATCCTGGGCTGTCCTTCATCAGTCACATGAGTCAGGGTGACACAGCCCCTCTGGAGGCCTGGCGAGGGCTGCCCCAGGCACAGAAGGCTGGCGGGTGCCTGGCACATCCGAGGTACCCCATAAATCCTGGTCGTTGGGGGCCAGCCTGCCGCCACCACCCCGTTATCAAGCCACCCTTTCACTGGCTTACAGACAGTGACTGTACTTCTGGGACACTCTGCCCGGCTCTTGAAGGGCAAGGGGCTTGCTTTGAGCTGCTCTGCCTCTCTCTTTTAGGATAATCAGGTCACCATGGGTGCAGAACTTAGGTGGCCATGTCGGCTCGACATGAAAACAGAGCTTTCTGGCTTGGCGGTGGTATGGGCTAGTGCATGACCCTGGGCTTTTCAATCTTTGTCAGTCCAGGGACATGGCTTAACTTTTCGAAGCATTCTTTTTTAAAAGATTTTATTTTTATTTATTTATTCGAGAGAGAGAGCAAGGGGGGGGCACAAGTTGGGGGGTAAGGGACGGAGAGGGAGAAGCAGGCTCCCCGCAGAGCAGGGAGCCTGACATGGGGCTTGATCCCAGGACCCTGGGATCATGACCTGAGCCGAAGGCAGTCGCTTAACCAACTGAGCCGCCCAGGTGCCCCTTTTCAAAGCATTCTTGTCTACAGGCCAAGTTCCATCACTAAAATTCCCAAGAAAGGGGCAAAATTTTAATCAAGTGCTGTCTTGTGAGAAGGTCTTTATATCAAATGTCGCTTGAAACATGTCATGAGAAGCTTACGTGGAGATCATCTGTTGTCATGGAACTTAAATTATGCTTTCTCGTATCTATTTTGCGAAGATCATCCATCACACCTTGCTATAATCCAATATCTCACAGAAATCCAAAATTACTCTGATTCTAGAAACTTAATATGTAGCATTGTCCTTGCTTCTAGGAATTTGCCATGATAAAACCACAATAAACACAGAAGTCAGCTTCCTCCCGCCGCTTCTAGAAACACCTGGAAGCAGGAGGAATAGGCCTGAGGCACCTGGGCATTGGCGAGACTCTGCTCTGTGCCGGCGGATTTCTCAGGCACTGAATGCAAAAGACAGTTCCGTGTGGGCAGAATTCAGCCCGCCAGGCCCCAGGCAAAGGGCAACAGAGTCAGCCCAGAGAGGCAGAGGGAAGCCTCCATTCACCCTGGAGGCGGCTCCTAGGCCTCTTCGGGGTACCCGCCCCCCATGAAAACGAAGCTGTTGTTTTCTTCCTTGGGAGAGAATGAGAGTGTGCAGAGGTGCCCACGTTTCTCCAGGCACAGGCAGGAGCTAAAGCAGCAGGCGAGGGTGTGAAAAGAGAGCAAGCTCCTGCCTCCCTACTCAACCGTCCCCCCTTTTGGGTTGCCAGCTTCCCTCTCTTCTCCTTGCGGCTTAGTTCCCCACCCACCGCCCTCCTACCTCACCGCCACAAAAAGCAACCCCGGCAGCCTTCAGGCAGGGGCCCAGTGACAATGCAGGTAGGAGGGAGCCCTCCTCCTGGGCTGGGGGCAGGGG